ATTGATTTTGCAGAATTCTATCATGCGATCTCCAGCATCATTTCTATCACCAAGACCATATTTTCCAACTACTGATCCTTTCTCTTTTTTCCCAACCTTTTCATTCCAATCACTGCTAATGATCAATACATTTTTATTGCATGTTTGATCATTTTCAGATTGAACAACTTGGTAGAATTCTTCTGTTTCATCCTCGCTGGCTTTAGTGGTTGGTGCGTAAATTTGAATAATAGTGGTATTAACTGGTCTTCCCTGTAGGCGCATGGATATTATCCTACCACAGATAACGTTGTACCTCCTCACTGATCTGGATATGTTCTTTTTGACAATGAATGCAACACCATTTGTCATTCCTGGCATAGTAAACCATGTGGTTGTCAGATTCAGAATGGCTAATACCAGTCCATTTTAGTTTACTAATGCTTAGATATTGGTGTTTATGTGTTCCATTTAATTTTTGACAACTTCCAATTTCCTACATTTATACTTCATACATTCCGTGTTCCGATAATTAATGGATGTTCACAGCTGTTTCTCTTCATTTTGAGTTGTGCCCCATCAGCAATAGGAGGTCCCACAGGCTTTTCTTCCACAAGCTTTACTCCATTCATGTCATCACAGTCAACTCTACTTTGAGGAGGCAGCTCTTCTCCAGTCACATTTTCAGTGCCTTCCAACCTGAGAGGCTCATTTTCCAGCACTATATCTGACAGTGTTTCTCTGCTATTCATACAGTTTTCAGTGACTAAATATTCAGAAGTAGTTCATCACTCCTTCTTCCTAGTCTGTCTTTGTCTGGAAGCTCATCTGAAACCTGTCCACTATGGGTGACCCTGCTGGTATTTAAAACACCCCTTGCATAGCTTCCAGAATCACAGCATCTCACAAGCCACCACAGTACAACAAACTGACAGACAAGTGGTGGTAGGTATTAGTAGTCCCATTTTAAAGACAAGAACATTGAGAAATAGCACAATTAAGTAATTTTGTCATGTCTATTTACAGTTCTCTATACATAATGGTTGAGTGAAATTTTAGTTTAGAAGATCATGTATAAACCTAGGCTCTGTGATTGTAAGCATTACCTTCACACTGGACCCACGTATCTTCATCATGAGTGCAGTTGTTCATTCCCCAAGGCCTGGAGGGGCAATCCTGAAGGGTTAGTTCTTTTCCTGAGCATGATACCTGACTCAGCCATATGGGCCCTTGGCCCTGCATAGCTCTGCTACAGCATCTTTGGGTCAGTGTGGCCCGGCCACATCCCAGCTGTCGGCATACCACCTTGGCTGCCTGGAGATTCCAGCTTGCTTTGCACACAGTGCCCCACTGGTTCTGGTGCTTCACCTCCACTCGTCCTATACAGCGTCCAGGGCCATCAGCCAGCCGCACAGTCTTTGGGACTGGGAAAAAGAAAGAGGAAGTTTTTGTTCCCTGCAAGAACACAATTTTCTCAGTAAAAGAAAGTCAATATGCACATCTCTATGCTCTTGGTGTTTAATGACATGTATACTCATTATTAGTACCTAATAGAGTCCTGGTGTGGCACTGTGGATTAATGTTGTGGATTGTTGTACCT